CCACTGGGTTTCAAGGGCGAAGCTGCTGTTTTCTAAAGCCGGCAACTACATTCTACATTCTTCTAGCATTGACCTTAACTCTTTCTGTATTTGTTGTAGCGTGTGCATCCCCCGTAAGATCAACTATTCACACGACAACAGGTCATTGTGCGGCGTCTGCACACGGGCGAAGCGCAAGCGCAAGACATGCGCTAGCACGGGTGTGACCGTGTGGTCCATCTTCACTGCACTAAGAGATGTGGAGAACATGTGGAGAACATGTGTATTGCATTGGCAAGTCCATGTAGATTGCACATTTCAGTGATGTGACATCCGTGTTCATGTCTCATTCGTCCGAGGCCCTCAGCCCAGAAAAGTAGTCTAAATTCGCCTCCTTTCGGCCGAAACGATGCGACAGATAACGGATCGAAACCGAACGTTATTCTCCCCACCTCCCGCAGCGGGTGGGGGCTGGTGGGGACTGAAACCTACCAAACCCTACCAAAACAACACGGTGCGTTATCAGCCGTGGGCCAACTACGTGGCCTTGGATTCATGTGGCCTGGTCCATTTTTGGGAGCCATACCCTGTCATAGAAATGGTCTAGAGAAAAAAGAAAACAAACACAGGGAGATAAACCCACTCAACATTGCATCCAATGACCAAGTCGAAAGCATCAAGAGAAACTGGTCGCCAGTCAAACTGTAAGAATCCCGTCAGTCACACTATCTGCCAAAAAGCTGCCAATCTTGTTGTGTTTCATCTCCTCTAAGATTCCAACTTTCCCTACTACAAACCCACATTTTTCAACAAGGATGGTTAGAGTACTTTGGAGCCAACCACCCAAGAAACGCCAACGATTTATGATGTCTTTCCCACCTCCAAACCATCAGCAACGCAGGGGAAACCAAAAATAAACACACTCCAACCAACCTACTAGAGATGGCCTTCACCGACTTCTCCGCACCTCGAAATCATATTTGTACTTCACCGACTTCTCCGGAACCTAAGGTCCGGAGGTGTTTTCCAGTGGCGAGGAGTGGTTTTGGATTGAATCCGGTTGTGGATCTGGCTTTCCTGCGGCTCCATCGATGTGTTTTTTTTTTCTGGTGAAAAGCTACGACTCGGTCGAAGAAAAACTCGGGTTGAGAAGTCTTCGGCGGTCTTGAAGAAGGGGTCTGAAATTCTGTAAAAGAAGAGTTGGCTGGTTGATCTGTTTATCTCTTTGCCTGGGTTGTGTGCAATCACCACGACAATATGCGTTTATCAAACAAATATATATATATATTGTACGTTATTGTACCATCAGGTTATACATCTGGATCTGCGTGCTCACGACTGTTCAGAAGATGGAAACAACTATATAACGTTACATGTTATTACATGTTATATACCCTCCCTGAAACAATCATGGAAGTGGAATACAGCCTGTTTGTAGAGGAAAACAGTCTTGCAGGGGCCATGTTCCACGTAACCATGTTTGTTGGATGGAGGGTATACCTTCACTATACTTCTTGTTTCGGTGCGATACGGTATCGGTATCCAATCTGACCAACTGCTGCATTGCCTCCTTTGAGACCAGCCTATCGTGGTGTTGCAATAGCCACGACACTGTGCATCGGACTCCACACTGTGCAGCACTGAATCACTGGAAGTGAACGTCTTCGCGAAAAGAGAAGACTGCTTTCAGCATCTTTCAGCTAGTATCCTATCCTTCCTGAAACTCGGTGACAATTCTATCTTTGACCAACATCTACTGGATGACTTGCCGCAAATGTGGATGAATCCTCACAAGCCCCGGCCCCATGCCAGCACCCGAAAAAAAAAAAAAAGTTGACAAAGGCGTCCAAAAGGGAAGAATTTGGGGACTGGATATTCATTTCTGCCCAGACCTGAATCCAGGACCAGGCACGGCCTCCTCCTTCTCACTCATCAACTCATCTCAGGCAGCGCGACCGGTCGCGCCATGCAGTCTTGTTCGCGCCATGGACATTCACGAGTCGATGGTACCTGATGTCACTGGTACTAGGTGCGGACCCCTGAAGCGATTCAAGACTGTGGCTCAGGAGACGTCCGACAGCGCGAGTGGACTGCAGCACGGGGATCTGTTGAGGGTCAAAACTACACCACCTGGCAATACAAAGACCGGCCTGGTTTTGTTCGTTGCGTTGTGGACCTTTAAAAATGATCTCTATACAGTTTTATATAGTTTTATAGAGATAGTGCTGGTGGTATGTGAAGATCACAACTCCTGAACTAGCCATTACGTTCAGGCACTGCTGCAGTGCTGTATATTGAAAATTGCAGATGTGTGTTTGAAGAATCTGCGTCTATTTCCTGAAGCTTTGGAACGTGTCCAAGCCACTTGATCAACACAGCTTCTTTTAGTGCTGGGTCCGGGATTCCTGTCAGCCTCAGTCCCCTTTATGATTGGAGTGCTCGGAGTTTCTCAGTAGCCTCAGCATACTTCGGGTTTCATCGCCCCACCCGCCCACCCGCCCTCAGCAGTTGTCTGGGATGTCGATGGACTACCAACTCTTTGGTCCGACCATCCGACCAATCCCGATCTCCAGGTCATCACCGAGGTTATCAAAGCCCAGACACGACCCATGGGACTGCCATAATAGGACTGCCGATCAGTTCGGGTGGTTGACTGGGGGTCAATTGATCGGCATATATATGGCAGTCCCATGGAGTGTCTGGGCTTTGATAATTCTTTGATGGTGCCGACTCGCAGCTCTCTCGGTCCTTTCATCGCGCTTCGCGCCGCGATCACACAGCGTTTCGGTCCTTTTTGCACGTGTCCAGAGGAAGGAGTCATGCAGCTCGAGTCATTGGGCGCAGTCGATCGAGTCATTGTGCCAAGTTCATCCATCTGTGGGGTTCGATCACCATTGGGTGCCAAGGGTACTGGAAGATGCTGGCATTAGATGTTGGGTTTCCTGCTATTTGGGGCTTACATGTTCCAGGCCACTGTCGCCCGACGCACACGGCTCAGTCAGAAGGCGGAACTTGGAAGAGGAAGAGTATCCTTGGAAGACAGTCAGCAATCTACATGACCACCTTGGACCGATCAACCCCAAGCCTTGAGCTCAGCCACTCAACAATTTGTCCAAAAGAATGAAGATTGTACTAACACTCAAACCTTGCACTGTTCAGGTCAAGTTCAAAACCAAAAGCATTCATGTTCTTGCAACGTTCATCCTGCACACCTCCTCGTCCGACCCCACGTGACTCGTCCTCGAAAATGAGATCTCATCCGATCAATGCAAGAAAACTCATGAGTATCTGAAGACATTCACATGAGTATACATGAGTAATTATACAATCCACATGAGTATCTGTCAGTATTCATAATAAGTATCTGAATGTATCCCGTCCCGACCCTGTGAAGCAAGGTCCACTTCTCTGGGGCCCTGTGCGAGGTCGGTCCGGTCGGCCGCGCGGGGGGGCCCCACCTCCACCGGTGTCGCGCGGAAAGCGCGACCGTCGAAGCTCACAGGTGTGGGCCCTGTTCCGGTCCAGCTGCTCCGGTCGCACCAAGACTTTCAGAGCACCAAGTGGCACCAAGCTTTGATTTGATGGTTTCCTTGACCGCAAGAAGACCCACGGAAAAGATGATAGATACAGTCAGCCAGTGGCTATAATTCCAAACCCGAAGCCCCTTGCACCAGGGTAGGTTGACTTCCCAGGTAGTCTGTTCTGTTGATTCTTGGTGGTCAACCAAGGTGTCCCTGCCATGACCCACAGCCAAGTAGCGCCTTGATAGAACATCCCGTGGGCTGTGGATGGCGGTTGTGGCTCTGCCAAGGCACCAACCGGTGTGTATCTTAATAGCCAGACCACCAACCAATGGGTTTTGGTCTATGCTCCTTCTTCCATTTTTTGGGGTGGGGAGGTATGAGGTCTCCGTAGTTTTATGAACAGTCACATCATCATTCATCATCCACCATGGCTCCCCATGGCTTGTGGAGTGATCCCTGCAGTTCTGGTTCTCTTCCCCTCCCACGCGGACCTGCCTCGGCTGTGGACCTGCTTATCCTGCCACAAACGGAGTCTGACGGCACGAGAACAATTCAGCTGGTCAAACATCAGTCTGAGGGTGAAGAGAGTGGGACCCACTGACATAAGGTTTCGTTTCGAAGAAGAGTGTCCGTTCCAAATGAGCCGAACAAAAACCACCAACAGACCCCGGTGGGGGGTGATTCGACTGGATGTGGTGGCTAGAAGCGAACCCCCGAGGGCCCCTCGCCTTCCCTCGAACTCGCCCTCGCCTGAACCGATGAACCGTTCGAACCGGTGGAGTCCATTCGGGGCCATTTCTGCCACCGCCCCCGGAGGACGCGTTGACGCCCGCCGGGCCAGCCCGGTGGAGGGGGAGCAGTTCTAACGCGTCATGACGAAAGGGGAGCAGTTCTAACGCTCGCTGTGCCAGTGGATCAAATGCAGAAAGCCCTTGAAAACCTGCCATGTAACGTGTGTCGACTGTATCATTGATGTCGAAATGACATCTTGAGTCTTGATGTTTGACATAGAACTTTTGCATACTTTTGCCCAACATAGACTCACGGCGTTGCAACTTCTTCTACATTCCGCAAACATCCGCAAACCAGCGTCAGGTCTTCAAAAGAGAAAGCAAGACGAAGCGCGGCTTCAGCCGGCTCTGTCGGTCTACACCGTGGGGTGGGATTTCTTCCGGTCGGTCATTGCCCGTTGTGGATGAGGAAATGGGATTTTGGGTCATTTGGATCAATTGGGTATACAGGTGTACACAGTATCTATATGTCTCATTATGTATCTATCACATTCCCACAAGATAGCAAATCTTGCCAGCTAGGAACGATTCCGCTATATTCCACTATCCGGAGTTGAACCAAGCAAACCCACCAAAACACACTGTTCATGACTCCAACAGTCAGGAATCAGGATGGTGGCGTACAGGACCGCAGCGAACTCTTTTTTCCAAGCACAAGTCGCTTGGCACCGGTGACTCGTACTGTTTTGGATGACTTGCTTCCAGCTTAGTCCAGCGCTGCGAGTTGCTGCAGGGCCGAGGCCGAGGTGTAGAAAAAGAGGATCACGCCCAGTAACAGGACGGCCACGTTGACTGCCAATGTCTGCCAGTTTGGATGGCAAATCTTTGCATGACAAATCACTGGAAAGATGAAGGCCAGTGGAACGCAACAAACCGATCCGATGAGGGCAATGAAAGCATCAATCTGATTCTTCCCCAGAAAGGCCACAAATGCACATGAAAGAATCAGCACCGTCCTCATGCGATTGATTTTCCAGGTTCTGTTGCGAGACTTGGGCACATTGCTGAAACAGAGTGCTTCCACATATATCGCTGCTGGGAATAGGCAGAGTGGAACATTGAACAAGGAGCCCAATGCGAAGGCAAAGGGTATCACTCGGCCAACCTGCGAACCTTCCGGTAAGTTCGAGGTAATCACCAAATTTGTGTCCTTGCCATAGTAGGCATAGTTGACCCCACCAAACACAATAAAGAGGGCGCACACGCCCAGCAAAGTGAAGACCAGGATGGGCGCAAAGGTCTCTTTCTGTTCATGTGCGTCGTACATGGGGATCACGAAGTTGATGCATTCGAAAGAGAACACCACCGTCCCGGCAAAGATCATCCAGTGAGGCCCGCTGGATTCAATTCCAACCCCGGGACCATGTGTCATCAACCCGCTGAAGGAGTAGCCCAACAAGAAGGCCAAGGCCAGCAGCACCGTGGCGTTTGCGATGATGTTGGACACCTGCACAGGTGGAGGGTAACCAAAACCAGTTCCAGGGGTTGAGGTTGGGGCCGAAAAATCCAGGTCTGGGTATTATATAAAATTGATAAAGCCACATAAAGTCTAGACTTCCATAATCAGGGAGCAAGTCGTCTCCTAGCAGTCACCTCTCGGGTTACTTAGGGGAGTAGGCAGCGTTCGTTTGCTCACCTGAAAGTACTGGAGCTTCCGAATCCAACTCATTGGAATCACCACCAGTAGCTGCAGCAGCAAAATGCTAGTTTCAGAGGCCCAGGAAGAATAGATGCCCAAAGCTGTCAAAGCTTTATTGCAGTTCTTTGCCACATAAAGCATCTCAGCACAAACAAAGCCGATTTGAGAGAGGAGGATGCTCACGTCCACCGCCCAGAGTCCCAACGAACCCATGGATCTGCGAGCGATTTCACCGTAAGAACCTCCGATTCTGCGCACACATGTCACCAGAAGGACCATACAATAGATTTCGATTCCGCCCACCAACAACAGCAGCAAAGGTGCTACCAAAAGCCCGGTCTTTGAAAAGGCACCAGGGATGATGATCAGCGTTCCACCGATCGTGGATTTCAAAATCACCAAGACCGTGGAAAGATTGGAGGCCCCGGGCGAGTGTCCGGGCGAAGCAGCTTCCAGCTCACCAGTGCCACTCGGTGCCACAGCCGTGCCCAGCTGTGACGGATCTGTTTCTTGCTCGAGGGAGAAGTACTTCTGCATGCGGGGATCCAGCAAAGAACTGAGAAGCGACTGCTGCGCCGCAGCAAACCCTGCGCCCTGCCGGAGGAGATGTTCACGGCGGAACCCCCCCGGCTGGGCGATGTCTCTCGCTCGTCCAACGTCGGGGAAGAGTAATTCGCCTTGAGCGGTTGGAGAGCTACTGCTACGTGTGAGAGTTGGAGGACCAAGACCTCCATCTGTTTCAGTCAACTTCTTTTTCAGATCACGAACCACTTCATCTTCTGCCATGCGAGGCTAGGACATTGAATTCTAGATGTTTTAATGGCAGCTATTCCGGCAAAGGCGAATGCAGCTATTCCGCCGATGACCGACAGGCAAGAAGGCAAGAAGGCAGGCCATTCGGTGGACTGGGGGGAGTCTGAGCCACAAAGGCTGTTGGATCCAATCCTCAGAGATCGAGTCGAGAGTTACAAACGGTTTCAAGCTTTATATACCCGTTTCCTGGGCTTCTGGTACAGGTGTGTTCTTCGTCTCTATCATCAAAAATACATCGCTTCAAAAGGAAGCTGGCCTAAAAGAACCTCACTTGGCAAAGGACAGCAAATTGAGTTCATCGGGAGGATAATGCACAAGGCTGGTGCCAACTCGAGTGTCAAAAGGCCACAACACAAGATTTGACCAAACCACAAAAGCTGCAAAAGTGATTGCTGTGTGGCAGGGTTTCTGAACGAGCATCGCATCTTCAAGCTTCAAGAGACTGCCGAGAAAGTTGAAGTGGAGATCCCTACTCCATCTGGGCATGTCAAAAGGTTCTGCCTTCTAAGGGATAAGGACCATATGCATCCGTATTTCACCTGTACATTCAATGTTGTTAGACTTTGACACCATCTCTGAGCAAAGACCGGAAAACCCGGAAAATCCACCAACACCACCTCATGCTGATCAGAACGACCATGATGATGGTGCTGTTGTTGCTGCTCATGTTGATATTGATACTTCTTGAACATAATCTATATACTATAAATACTTATAAATACATATGCATACAAACATGTAAATACTAACTGTTGGTGGGGTGCCGCGGAGACCCATACATGTGTGTGTGTGTTCTACCTGGCACCTTCACTTCAACACACATAGAACCGCGTCATCATCCACATGCCGCACACATGAGAGACTGTGCTTCTCTCACTAGAGTTTTGGATTTGCATCATACCAACGAATCCTATGCTCACCAATACTGAAACATGATGCTTGAGGCCGCGCCAGGCTAACTAGGGTAGTTTCCTGTTTCTATCTACTTCAGGTTCATCTACTTCCAACCTTCTCCGGGATTGTTGTCTAAATGGCAACTCACATCAGCTTCACCTCGCCTGCAGGCCGCTTGGCACGCCGCTTGGGCCGCTTCTTCGGCTGGATCTGCCTGGTGTCCCCGTGTTCCGGTCCGGTGCTCCGATCCACGAAGAGAACGGGCGGCCGCGGCTTTCTCCAAGTACTCGTGGACTTCCAAACTGTGTTTTTTTTAAAGCTCCAAATGAACAAAAACTGGGTGACAAATATTGAGCAAAAACTTATCTAGCTCCAAAGTAGGAGATATGACCCGTTTTGTTGAAACCGTACAGTTGAAGGAAGAATTGAAGAAATCGGAACAGGACCTCTTTAAGGGAATGCTTAGCTTTCGAGACCTCGCATTGGCCGCATTGGCCACTTCAGAGATGGTGCAAACAAAAGGCCACTGGAAGACTTTGCATTAGCCGAGATGTGATGGCCTTTCAGGAGAGAGCATCTTGAACACCAATGTGATTGTGAAAAACTTACTGAACGCTCCTTGGGAGTTGGGAGTCCTTCATTTCGAGTCACACAACCTGCCTGAAGGAGTCGCTAGAGACGATGTCACAAAAACCGTTTTTCACTGTGGCCTGATGTCACAAGAAACCTCTGCATCCGTCTGGGTTGCATTTTCTGCTCGTTTTTCCCGTTGCCTTCTTCGCCATTCGTTCCAGTCCTTTCGATTCAAAGCGCACTCCGGGCAACAGATTCTGCAAATGGTTGCCTGACTTAAAGAATCAGTGCCATAAAGAGAACTGTGATTATTGTATATTATTGTGAGTCATAGGTAAACATGACTGACAAATGAACACACATTTAAGGCTTAACCTTTTCAACTCCCTGATATATGCATTTGCATTTGCTGCCTGCGGCTTTGCAAAAGCTAACACCTGCTAACATTCGCATGGCAAACTATATTGCCATATTGGGAAGCCTGGCGGTTGGAAAAAAGGGTGTTCCTGCGTGTCTGCTTGTTTACTCGTTGCCAATTCTGCATCGGATCAAATCTCGTTTGCTTTTCGCGAGTTCGCCAAGGGTCCAGGGCCCTCTGGCGACCAGGTATGGCCTTTGGCCCCCCAAGCGAGTACCAAGCGAATGTATGCACTCCCCGAAATTTCGGATACAAACAGAGGCAATAACAGTGGTATGGGATGTGTTATTCCATCCACCTCTGCCCCCATCCACTGCAATCTACAGTATTCCTGCAGTCTACATCTAGTGGCTTGGAGAAGGACAAACCTCAACAATAGACTTTTTGAGGGTCGTATAAAGGAACCACATCTGGTGACTTGTGTAAGGAACCACGTTCATACTCCCAAACCATTGCAATGTCATGTCTGAAACCGCTCGGTCCTCTTGCTTTGGCTTATCATCTTCTCCCGCCTTCTTGGCAGCTTCCTAATGAACCCAGCAGCCGATGTGCGACGAACACGGCTACTGGAGTCGCTTGTTTGGGTAGGAAGTTTGCGCCGGAGCCGCTTCCTGAAAGGTCTGGAAACAAGACACATCATGATTTACAAAGTTTATACTTTATTTGAGCCATAAGAAGTCTACTTGTGGTTTCTACTTTGTTTCAGAGGCGATTTACAAAGTCATCCCAAAGTCTACTTTGAACGCTTCATCTTTCTCACCGAAAAAAGTCCGTGAAAACCAACACGAAAAGGCCCGGGTCATGATGCAATGATCTGCGAGAAAGCTAAGCCTGGCAGGTCAGAGGTAGGGCTGTGAGGTCAGAGCCATTCATGTCTGCAGGTCAAACCCTCGTATGCACCCTAAGTTTGAACATGACCTGAATAATCAGCGAAACAAAACAGCGATGCAACTAGGTGCGTGTGCAACTAGGAAGATCAGGAAGATCTAGGAAGTGTGGAAGAACCCATGATGGAACCCACTGTGCCACTACCCTCATAACCAGGATAACCCACAGCCAGGACCACTTGGTCCCCTGATGATCAAAGAAAAATGCTTCATGACCCAGGCATCCCGTCCCAGAATTTCTGGACCAGAACATCATCGGCACTTTATAGGATTCAGAAAGGAATATGAGCACTGAGCACTCACGTCACCTCTCCTCGCTCTTCACCCCTAGGAAAACCAAACGCGACGAAACATCCACCCCGAGTGCCCTCGCGCTTCTGTAACCGGCCTGGGCCTTCGCTTCAGCCTCACGCTCCTTGGGGCTTTTGCCACCAACATTCCTTGGGTCCAACGCGCCAGGTCCCGACGTTGGCAGGTCCGGAGTGCACACCAAAGAACACTGCGAAGCTCACCAACTGTGGGTCTTGAAGCACAGGCGGAAAGATCAATGACTCATGACTGTGTAGGAGCGAGGGTACTGCTCAGACCCAGTTTGGCTTCGCAGCGCAAAAAGATCCGGTTCCTAACAAAGCTAGTCACAAGATGTCACAAGAGGAGTTTTGACTTTGATGATTGCAATTCCCAAACGGTGGTTGTCAAAGCACTTTCCTGAAAGAGCCCTTTGGTTGTTGATTTCTCCTCTCAATGAAAGCCATATTGGGGAAACAAGTGCCCACCCTTTTCCTCGACCTGGCCGGCCTTTTAAAGAAGCTTCGGCTCGGTTTCGCCACAGCCCATTCGGATAGAGGGCGGATAGTTCACTAGAAACAAAACCCAAGGGTTCCAAAGACAAAGAGAAGAATGGTCTTTCTGCTAAAGACGATTGTTTTTATGTCTTTCGTAAACCACGCGCAAACCACGCCGACCACGCACTCCCCCACTCACCCAAGTTCTTTTTCAGCTCAAGTAGAGTAGATCATCGATCACCTCGATCTTGCTTTCGAAGATTTGTTGAGCCTAGGTAAAAGTTGGATAGTCACATTTTCAACACTGCCGGATGCACATCACAACCAGTCGCGGCCTAGAAGCTTTAACACACGGTGCTTCATGCACCAAAGCCGCAATCTCGACATTCGAAGTGCCCACGAACGCTGGTGAAGCGGATGTGCACGAAGTAGTGTGCCTAATCATACTCAGGCAAAGAACGAACCTATGCATACTAGAGTGCATACGTGTATTTAATAGTGTAGATCAAGAACATTAGAAAACTGCACCGCTAGTTTCTGATGCTGATGGGGTGCGGCGCATCCAACCGACATTGTCTTCATCCACGAAGCAGTGCATGTGCCTGAAGTTCAAGCCTTGGATCTTGGCAAGCACCAGAACTTCACACAGAGATCAGCTCAGGGAAAAAGGAAAGAGGACAAAAACCGGGGGGGAAACCGTGCATGCATACAAGGGTCCGCGTTTTACTTGGAGTAAGATATGCCCAAATGCCTGGTTGCAACAAATAGTGCAGTGATTCATGTGATTGAAACAGTCCATGTCAAGGCATTTCACAATCGTCTTGCGATCAGGATGCGTGAATTTTTGGTCGCAAAATAAAGTGTGGCTTGCCAAGCCTGCACACATGTGTACCAATGGACACAAAAAAAGGATATTCTCACGAGTGCATGCATGCAAGGCAGTTATAGAGCTAGGATATTGAAAACGGGGTTAAGGCTGCCAGCCTTTCACTCATGTGGTTCAAGAGCACGTGGGTTCGTGCAAAGAGCATGCCCTCTTTGTAGATCTCATCAGCTTGTTGCTGTGACCTAACTCTTGGACCACAGCAGTCATTTCCAAATGGCAGCTTTTAAGCAGAGACACCCGCAATGACCCTTGCCAAATTTAATTGCATACAGAAGGCAAAAATCGTGGAGCTGCCTCAGCCAGATGCATAAATCTTGCCAAAGATGTCCTTGGAGCGTCACGCGCACATGGAGGCAAAATGAACATGGCCGGTAAAGCAGCATCAACCCAACCGCAACCAGGTAACATGCACACTGACATCTCCGCAAGCCGCTCAACCAAAGGGTAGCGCTCTGCTGCAACACGCAAAGCACTTGAAAGCCACAGCTGTATGCAACGATTATTGTAAGCTTTCGCTGTCATCAATATTTCTCCACCTTTCTTGACAACCTCATTGCACACTGCACTGCCCCGGCTCGACCCACGTGCAACAAGACCCGTATTGATCACGAGAGCAAGAACGAACAAAGCAATTGGATCCAAGTTGCCAGTTTCACCGTGAATGGTGGTTGACTGCATGGCACTCTGGCAGCCTTGCAGAAGTGTCGGAAGTTCACAAAGGCGTTGTCCATGCGCTCCTGCGCATGACCAAAATCACAAACAAGGGCCTGCATGCATGGAGCCTATGGAAGTTTTATGCATTCGTTATCACGGTCCTGAAGGCTAAGCGCTGCTGGGTCGCCAAACATGTCAGTGTCTTCAAGGAGTGTAATCCTCGGCGCGCAGGCGACCTCGAGCGATCTATGCATGGTTTTTGGGTCTACCCATCGAGATAGCAGGCACGCAATGCATGCATGCCAAAAGTCAAACTGCTTCCATTGCAGCCATACATCAGCCCAAGGTTTATGCAGTGCATTGAGCAGAAGGCGATGCATGAATTATCAAAGCCCTTCAATAGGAGCAACGGGCCTCAATGCGTGCCGATCAAATATATTTTGATAATTGCGCTTCCGACCTATATGTGAGTTTTGCCAAGTACGGAGGAGCTCACTTGCGTGCGCATGTGTAAAAACTCCGCCGTAAACTCCGCCAAGGTGCTGGGCCCCTGCAAAGGCATCTCAACCCGCAGGAATTGCATAAACGTGTACTGCCGCTGCCACAAAGGACTTGACTCCTGGATGTTATAGTATTTGCAATCCCCACTCGACAAAGCCGGACACATGAAGCACACAGGCTTGTTTCTTCCGGCCGTCCAGCTTGAGTTGAACCTGAATACCTGTTTGTGCCAAAGCCAGTCTCCACGACATTCGACAACCTGAAATCTGTGGCCTGTAATTGGCTGCCCAATGCGATCACGAAACTTCCCTTCCAAAGTCTCTCCATTAGGGCCACAAGAAGGGTATCGATCTTCGTACAAGCAATTCAGGCTCCAACAAAGCCTTGCAAAAATCTTGTTGAGAGTGATGTGCTTGTAGAGCTATCGTTCATCAAGCGTGCAAACAAGCCATCTTGATGCCCTCGAGTTCCGAGGACGAAAGAGTGGACAATTCAAGAAAATGCCTAAGGCTTTATGCACGGGCTGGTGTGCAATCTGTCGAACACGACAGCTGTCCCCGTAAATGCCCAATGGGATGTATGAATCTTCAGAACTGTTCACTGCCCATTGTGTGCCTCGAGCTCTGTGTTCCCTCCAAAAAGTTTCAACCTCTGCGGTCCCAATCTCAATCCCAACTTCAGCCCACAGGTACCGAATCAAGCTGAAAGGCTCCAACATTTCTATGTCGATCCACTTGAACCCTTCTTTGCATTTGCGATCGGCCACAGGAGCACGAATCTTGACGATCTCCTTGGAATTGACCATGGACCACCAGATTTTATGACACAAGCTAGCGCTGTATCTGAGAATATTACATTATCGATCGATCGATCTATTACGCAGCAAAGTTTCCACAGGAACATTGCAAAAGCGGAAAAAGTCTCGAGTGCAGTTCCACTTGGATTTGAGACCCAGTCGAAGGGTTGAGCTGCTGGCCCTGTCACGCCCGAAGTCCTGGGTCAAAGGATATACGATAGGGAGTCACACGCACACATGCATGGATCGGACATGTTCTACAAATTGCAAAGGACAGTGTCTCAATCAATGGTTATTTTTCCGAGGTTCTTTGCAGTGATTTTTGCAGTTCCGCATGCACTGTTTGATGCTGCTGACCTCACTGCATTGGGAACACTCGTTTTTGGATCACCGAACTTTTCCACAGATTCTTTCTTAGGGAATTCCAAGGAGACACATGCATGCAATATTTGCACACTGCATTGCGCAACTCGCTATTAGATCGATCGATGATATGGCACTCTCGACGTTGCAGTGAGATTCATCCAAGGAACGGCACCAGCGACATCGTCAATGGCATCAATCACAAAGGAGGAGAACCGCCGTACTTGGTGTTCGTCGTGTTGGCCTGCACGTGTGCAGTTTGGAGATTGGGTGAATAACTGGGCAAAGTGACATGGGTAGTATAGTATAGTGCGCAATCGATTGATGGACCACAACTCGTACTCCGACAACTCCAGCACCGGTGAGATTTTTTTCTCAAAGCCAACCCCATTTCCTTCAGTCTAGAAAGATATCGATCGACATCGATCTATCTAAGTTCACGATTGTGATGAATGTGCATGTCACACACATCGAAATAGCAGGTTCGAGTCCCGAACACAACCCCACAAATGTTGTGTCCGATTTGGACGGCACTATCCCGCTATAGGCATTTTGCACCAGCTCCCCAAAAAGCAACGCATCTGTGTTTTTTTGGTATCATCATTGCATGACATATTTTTCAAAATTGGTGCACACAAGGGAATGATGCCCGGCGGCTACACCACTAGTTCATTCTGTTCTTGGCATTTTTCCAAGATTTGATGCTGGCACTCGCTTCATTGGCACGCTTCTCCATTTGATCGACCTGGAAGCGATCACACGCAGATCAATATAGAAAAGTTGCAGCTTGTATTGAGACGATATCAATAATATGTTCAAACAATTGGTATGCGCCCAGCCTGGTCCCTTTCAAGGCAATCAGACACCAAGTCCTTTTGCGCCTTGAGCTCCTGTTTGAATGCCCGCAAGGACTCGAGCACAGCCGCTTTGAGCGATTCGGACCTTGGCGACACCCGGCTTGATCAGACTTATCCATGCATGCATGGATCGAAGGTGTGGTAAGAAAGTCAGTGATCAATGATGATCAATGATCGTAATCAACATTTTTCCGGATTCAAAACGCACTTGTCGACATTTGCATGAATATATTCATGGATAAAACAAGGTTAATTAATCATTGAAAGCAGGAGTGGGGCACTGGGTGCAGATTTGGGTTGAAGGCGATTAGATGCAGCCCAGGCGCATCGAATCTGTGTTGTTCTCATTGCGGCTGATCTCCGCCAAGCATGCGACCAAGTCGTTGAGAGCCTTGACAGCATAAGCAAGGAAAATTGACCAAAAAAATCAGAAATTGTCAGAAGCAGTGCATGCCCCTACCAATTGGCAATGATCTCACTTGTGCATGCACGCGCTAATATAAAGTAGTTTGACTGCGCACTAGTCTGACAGCACAGTGTGCAACAGTGTTTGATGAAGTTTGAAAGCCTTCTTTGCTTTGTTGCGCTTCTCTTGCTT